ATTCATTCGTTCATTCACTCACTCATTCATTCGGACGGAGTTTTGCTCTTGTTGCCCAGGCTGGAGTGCAGTGGTGCAATCTCGGCTCACTGCAACCTCCACCTTCCGGTTTCAAGCAATTCTCCTGCCTCAGCCCCTCAAGTAGCTGAGATTACAGGCGCCCACCATCACACCCAGCTAATTTTTGTATTTTTAGTAAAGACGGAGTTTCACGATGTTGGCCAGGCTGGTCTTGAACTCCTGACCTCGTACTCCGCCTGCCTCAGCCTCCCAAAGTGCTGGGATTACAAGCATCAGCCACCTCGTCCAGTTTGCTGGGATTACGGGCATGTGCCACTGCGCCTGTCCTAACAAACACTTAAAGAACACCAATCCTGCTCAAACTATTCTGAAAAATAGAGGAAAAAGAAAAACCTCCAAACTCACTCTACAAGGCCAGTATTATCCTGATACCAAAACCAAACAAAGACACATTAAAAAAAAAAGAAAATAGGCTAACATCTTTGATGAACATTAAGGCAAAAATCCTCAACAAAATACTAGCAACCTGAATCCAACAATACATTAAAAGATCATTCACCATGACCAAGTGGGATTTATTTATCCCAGGGATGCAAAGATGGTTGAACATAGGCAAATCAATCAATGTGATACATCATATCAACAGAATGAAGGACAAAAACCACGTATTTTCAGGCCGGGTGTGGTCGCTCACGCCTGTAATCCCAGCACTTTGGGAGGCCGAGGCGGGTGGATCACCTGCGGTCAGGAGTTCGAGACCAGCCTGACCAATATGGTGAAACCTCATCTCTATTTTCAAAAAAAAAAAACAAAAACCCACATATTTTCAACTGATGCTAAAAAAAGCATTTGATAAAATTCAAAATTCTTTCATAATAAAAACCCTCATAAAGCTGGGTATAGTAAGGAATATCCTCAACACTATAAAAGCCACATGCGCCGGGCGCGGTGACTCAAGCCTGTAATCCTAGCACTTTGGGAGGCCGAGGCGGGTGGATCACAAGGTTAAGAGATCGAGACCATCCTGGTCAACATGGTAAAACCCCACCTCTACTAAAAATACAAAACATTAGCTGGGCATGGTGGCACGTGCCTGTAATCCCAGCTACTCAGGAGGTTGAGGCAGGAGAATTGCCTGAACCCAGGAGGCGGAGGTTGCGGTGAGCCCAGATTGTGCCATTGCACTCCAGCCTGGGTAACATGAGTGAAACTCTGTCTCAAAAAAAAAAAAAAAGCCATATGCAACAGACCCACAGCTAATACTATACTGAATGAGGAAAAACTGAACTAAAATCTAGAACACCACAAAGCCACAAAGATGCTCATTTTAACCACTGTTATTCAACATAGTACTGGAAGTCCTAGCGAAAGCTATCAGGAATGAGAAAAAAAACAAAGGATGTCCACATTGGAAAGGAAGAAGTCAAATTATCCTTGTTTGCAGATGATATGATCTTATATTTGGAAAAACCTAAAGACTCCACCAAAAAACTATTAGAACTGATAAAGAAATTCAATGAAGTTACAGAACACAAAAATCAACATACATAGAAGACCCAGAATAGCCAAAGCTATCCTGAGCAAAAAGAACAAAACTGGAGAAATCACATTACTTGACTTCAAATTATACTACAGAGCTGCAGTAATGATAACAGCACGGTGCTGGCATAAAAATGTACACATAGACTAATGGAACAGAAGCCAGAACCCAGAAACAAATTCATATGCCTATAGTAAACTCAATTTCAATAAAGGTGCCAAGAACATACATTAGAAAAGGACAGTCTCTTTAATAAATGGTGCTGGGAAACTGGATATCCATATGTAGAAGAAAACTAGTCCCCTATCTCTTGCCATATACAAAAACCAAAAAAATGAATTAAAGACTTAGATCTGAGGCTGGGCATGGTAGTTCACACCTGTAATCCCAGCACTTTGGGAGGCCGAGGCAGGCAGATCATCTGAGGTCAGGAGCTCAAGGCCAGCCTGGTCAACATGGTGAAACCTTGTTTCTACTAAAAACACAAAAAATTAGCCAGGGGTGGTGACAGGCGCCTGTAATCCCAGCTGCATGGGAGGCTGAGGTGGGAGAATCACTTCAGCCTAGGAGGTGGAGGTCAAAGTGAACAAAGAGATGGCATTTTCTAGGCAGAATCCTGGCAAAAATATTCATAAGATCAGGATGATGAGTAACAGGCATTCTAATACATTGTTAATAAGAGTAGAAATTGATGCAATCTTTCTGAAGGGCAATTTGTATTTTAAAAAATTATTCTAATACTTCTTAGAACAGTAAGGAGACTTTATTCAAGGCTATTCCAAAAGGGGTATCATAATACGGGAGAGATTAGGTTCAAATCAGAATACAGGGACAAGTGGGGATTCATAGCCAAGAGCAAGGTGAGTCCGGGCACAGTGGCTCACGCCTGTAATCCCAACTCTTTGGGAGGCAAAGGGAGGTGGATCACGAGGTCAAGAGATCAAGACCGTTCTGGCCAACAGGGTGAAACCTGTCTCTACTAAAAACAAACACAAAAGAAATGAACTGGGCGTCGTGGTGGAGGCCGCAGTGAGCTGAGATTGCACCACTGCACCCCAGCCTGGTGACAGACTGAGGCTCCATCTCAAGAAAAAAAAAAAAAGAGCTGGTGAAGGAGTCAGTGAATGGACAATTTCTAACAGTGAGACATCATGGGTAAGGAAATTCTTACTAAACTGGCCTAACAGGATTCTTATTAAAGGCAGGCCGGCCAGGTGACCAGCCTAGCCAACATGCAAAACCCTGTCTAAAAAAAAAAAAAAAAAATTAGCCAGGCACAGTGGCACATGCCTGTAGTCTCAGCTATTTGAGAGGCCGAAGCAGGAGAATCACCTGAACATGAGAAGCAGAGAGGTTGCGGTGAGTCAAGATCCCGCCACTGCACTCCAGCCTGGGAAACAGGGCAAGACTCTGTCAAATCAAAAAACTAAAAATTAGAAAAAAAAAAAGGCCGGTGTGTGGTGGTTCACGCCTGTAATCTAAGCACTTTGGAGGCCAAGGCGGGCAGATCACCTGAGGTCGGGAGTTCAAGACCAGCCTGACCAACATGGTGAAAACCCGTTTTTAAAAAAATAAATTAAATAAATAAATAAAGGCATGCCAAGGATTTGAACATCGAAGGTAGGAAATGAGGAATGTGATCAGATATCAAAGGTGATCAGACTATCAAGTGTGAGAAATCCTCTCTGAACTGACAGCAGGATTCTTTGCTAAGACTGGGCTGGGCAGGCCAAAGATGGGATGCGGCCAAGTTCCCTCAAGGAGAATCTTTGTCACTGATAATGTTTATCAAAATTAAAGGGCCAGGCACAGTGATTCATGCCTGTAATCCCAGTACTTTGGGAGGCCGAGGACAGAAATCACTTGACCCCAGGAAGTGACTCCATTTCTACCCAAAAAAATAAAAATAAAAAATAAAAGGGCCATGTATGATAGCATGGCAGCTCAATGTAGCATTCAACTGCTGGGCTCAAGCAATCCTCCCACCTCAGCCCTGTTCCACCCTGGCTTTCAGTGGCTGAGACTACAGCTACAGCTACACCATACATGGCTTTTTTTTTTTTT